GGCTGGGGGCCTGGGAAGTTGGGTCGGGAAGGAGGATGGGAGTAAGTTGGAGGGAACTGGTTTGATAAGTATAATAAAAAAATTTTACAAATTAAAAACATTAAAAAGATACCAATGTAATTTTCAAAAAAAATAAAGTTAATATTTTAATAATTTAAAATTTTTACCTCTATTGACTTTGAAATATCACACCTCCACTGAGAGAACATCACTTCCAGCACAAGTTCTAATAGATATTAATAATAAAAACACAGTAATCTGACAGGGAGGGGAAGGTGAAAATTGAAGGATCAAAGATTCAGAGCATCTGGCTACTAGAGTTGTTATCTCTACCTATTCTCAGACAAGCGATGTGTTCCTGTCCTCACACTGCCTACTCAGATTGACTGCTATTGCTTCAATCCCTCAGACTAACTTCTCAAACAAAATCATCTCACAGCATGCTATACTCACTCCTCTACCTTATCTTCCTTTCTCTGTCCAGCCATGTCACTCCTATCTCCAAATCCCTGCTGCTGGGAATAAAGGCCTGATTCCCATGTCCTGGGACAACCTTAGTGTGAGCTGTTTTTCTTTTAGACAGACTTAGTATGTGTCTAACTAGTGACATAGTGTGTGTGTCTAACTACTGATTTAATGTGTGTGGATAACTAGTGACCTAGTGTTGGTAGCTAACTAGTGACTTAGGTGTGTAGTTGACTAAATACATAGAAATACATAGGTGCATGGCTAACTACTATCTCAGTGTGTGTGTGGCTATTTTCTTGGTGTTTGTGACTAGCTAGTAAATTAGATGTGTGGCTGACTACTGACTTAGTATGGGTGGGTAAGTAGTGATATATTGTGTGTAACTAACTAGAGACATAGAGACTGTGGCTAACTAGTAACCTAGCTTTGTGGCTAACTAGTGACTTAGTCAATGTGGTTAATTACTGCTTAGGGATGTAGCTAAATAGTAACTTAGGTGTATGATGAACTACTGTCTTAGTGTGTGTGGCTAAGTACTGCTTTATTTTTGTGATGGACTTGTGGCTAATTTTTTGTGGCTAACTAGTGACATAGGTGTGGGGCTGACTATGGATTTAGGTGTTTGTCTAACTAGTGACTTCATATGTGTGGCTAAATAGTGAGTTAAGTATGTGGCTAACAAGTGGCATGGTGTGTGTGGGTACTAGTGAGCTAGTATGTGTGGCTAACTCGTGGGTTAGTTTGTGGCTAACTAGTGGCTTACACTTAACTACATGTGTAGCTAAATAGTGACTCCGCTTAGTAATCTGATTGTTAGGAACTAGCAGCCATTTGACCCCCCCCACCCTGAAGATGGGTGGGACCCTCATGGCCATGTCATTGCTACATCAGCTTTACCTGACAGCTCAAGGTTTACCTGGCAGCCAGAGGACTCAGTTACACATGTGCAAGCCTCCCCTTTTAAAGCAAGTGCCCCACACCCCCCTCTTTCTCTCCTGCTTTCAGTTGGCCACCAGCTACCCCCTCTTTCTCTCCCTTCTCTCAACAATCTCCACGTGGGCGCTTAGTCTCGCGTTTGTGTTTCTTAGGCATTAGCTGTACACCAAAAGAACAACATTGGTGCCGAAACCCAGGCAGGCTCTACGTGAGGGTCACTGACAGCTGTCTGCTGGTGGGCGGCCAACCAGAAACACTCAGGATCTTGTTTCAGATACCAGTGTTCCACCACCATCCCCCCCCCCCCCCCGTTCACTGGAAATACCACCCCACACAGGCTTCAATTAGGTAAGGTACCCTTTTATATTTTAACCCAATTCCTTAAGGTCAGGTACATTCCATGGGTGGAAGACATACTGCCCAGTGTGGTATATCGGCTCTGCTCTCAGACTGCTGAGTATTTCCGGCCTCTGTTGGTCCTGGCAACAGTTTCGGGCTAACGAGCTTCGAATAATGCTCTGCCATTCTCGCGAATCATGTGGCCACACTCTTGGGCTGATGTGTTCCATGACTGCATGGTCACTTTCACTCCACCCATTGGGAATAAACCGACCAAGGAAATATCCCCCACCACTCCACTGGGATGCCTGATAGAAAATTTAAAACCCTTTCACTTAATGCCACTTGTAAAGTCACCCAGACTTATTTACCTTTGTACTGAAAAGTAGCCTAGATATCCCCTAGAAAATAATTCAAATTGGCCACGTAACGGCTCTCTAGATCCCGATATTTTATGGGATCTTTCAAATTACTGCCAGGGAAGAGATAGATGGAAGGCGTTTTTTAAAATATCTCTGCTAAACAATCTCTTTCCCTAAACTTGTTTCAGTTCTCTTCCCGGCATGCTCAAATTCTCCTGCCTGCCCCAGCTGCAACCTGTCTCAGCATGGTGGGCTGTCCTGAGGCAGCATCTGCTCAAGACAAAATTATATCTCAAAACTTTACGATTTCTTTCTGCTGTTGGGAATATGTTTATGGCAGCCACCATCTTGACCATGCCTAGCTTTACCCACCATGGTTCTTCTTTCTGCTACATCAGCCATCTAGGCAGAAAGTGTCTAGCCAGCTTCTGCCACCAACAGAACCTGTAAGTCATTTACCGTTTGCCTTTTATTCTTTGTCTGTAATATCTTTTTTCTCTAACTATGTTATACATAGCTTCACACTCTAGTCCTTCTCAATTTACCCAGTCTTGAATAATATATCTGTACATTCGATTTCAACTTAACTTTATGTAAATGTAAGCTAACTTCATACAACTTAAATTCAACTGTTCTAAGTCTCAAATATTTCTAAATTATTATGTGCCTTTAAATGGTGGATTTTCAGGACTGAAAAACAGGACACGGCACCACAGGAAGCTGGGAAATGGAGTCCTGGAGCCTCAGAGACCAGAAGAAGTTTAGGAACTGAAAAGATCGAAACAAGCCCAGCACATGCCGGGAACTGTAGTTAGGGGCCTTGAAGTCCAGAAGAGAATGTCAAGGGGAGAAAAGAAAGAAGCAGCCACACAGCATGCTGGGAAGTGCAGTTCTGGACCCCAAAGTTTTTAACCGGAAGTCCATTCATAGAAAAGCGGACACAAATCATGCTGGGAAATATAGTCCTTGGCTTCCAAAGATGAAAATAAGAAGTCCCTGGGCAGGGAAGCAGGAAGTGGCCACAGAGAATGTTGGGAAATGGAGTCCTGGGCCTCCAAAAACTACAAACTGGAAGTTTCATTGCTGAAAAACAGAAAGCCATCGCAGAGCATGTTGGGAACTACAGTCCCTGGCCAGTACAGATGAAAACCGGAAATCCCTGGGCATAAAGGCAGGAATCGACCGCACAGGATGCTAGGAAATGCAGTCCTGGACATGAACATACAAACCCAGAAGTCTCTGGGCAGCGAAGCAGTAAGCAGTCGCATAGGATGGTGGGAAATGCAGTCCCAGCCACAGCAGTTACAAAAGTTCCTGATGGCCTTGGCTCAAGTCAGCCTTGGCTGCATCTGCGAGCAGAAGTCATGCCTCACCCTTGATGATTGACTTGAGTCTCTACTGCCAGGTTTCCCTTGCCAGGAAATCCAGCCCTCGGCTTGCAGCCTGCCCCTCTACCTTTATAAAGATAGCTGACATGTCCCCGCCCAGTCAGCCTGTAGATCACACCCTCAGCAGACCTCATGGCCCAGAGGCAGGAAGTGGGGTCTGTAGTGATTGACAACTGGAGGGGCAGGGTATTCGGTGACTGACATTACAAGGGTCTGGAGGGGTGAGCTCTATGATGTCACAGGAGCCACACTCATCATCCTCAGGGTTTTTACTCTCATAATCTGCTCACCATGGCCACCGCCATCTGGGTCCTAGCATTGCTGCTTGGTAACCTAAGAGTTTGGTAGGAGACTCCTGCCATGCCCAGCTGGGGGTGGAGATGGTGAGGGTAGGGAAGGAGGGCAGTTCCTGCTCACAGTCACAATTTCCTGTGATGTCACTGCCCGGACCAGGACCAAGTCCTGTCTGCACCATAGGTAATACCCAGACCCCGGCCCTGCCCTCGGGGACCCTAGGAGAGAAAGTGGGGAAGGGCCTAGTGTGGTTGAGGGCAGGGCCTGGAGAGGGTCACTGATTGTGACCTTGGACACTGTGACCTCTGGGTAGGGGACAGGTGAGCTAGGATAGTGCTGAAGGGGCGGGGCCTGATGCTGAGCAGTAAAAACCTGCCACTCATTTAAATATGCAAATGAGGCTACTAAACTGTTATGTAAAGGATGCACTAGTAATTTTGATTATGCAAATAAGAACAGTGCCTGAAAATCTGGAAATCTGATTGGAGCTTCACATTTGAGTATGTAAATGAGCAAACCCCAGTTTCAGAAATACACTTTAGTATGCAAATTTGTGCTGCTTTGCATGCTTTTGCTATGCAAATGAATGCAAGTATTCCCATCTGTTTGGGACTTTGACCTGCAAATACATGCAGGTTATGTCATTTGGAGGTGTGGCCATGCAAATTAACCCCAGCAGTTTCTGTACTTGATGTCTTCTGAGTCTCCAGGCAGCTCTTGAATATGCAAATCAGAGTGCGGGCAGGGGGTGGGGCCTCCTCTGACCCTGCTCCTGATGTCAAATGTCCATCACAGGCATCTGATGGTGAAGCTGCTCATGCAGGACCCAGTGAGGGCAAGGGCAGGGCCCATGGAGATGGTGAGGGCGGGACATCAGGAGGGGCGGGGCCACAGGGGTGGGTTTAGGTGTACTCCCCTCTGTGGGCCTGTCCCCTAACCCTGCCTCCACACACCTCACCCCATGTCCTGTGTCCTAGCACTGGGAAGTGATGCACTTGAGGGAAGCTTGCTCTGTCAATCAAACACAATGCACCAAGGGCATCATGGGAAATGGGTCACTGCTTCACAAACTCACCAGAAGTCCCGCCCCTTCAGTCAATCTCTCACCAGAATACCCGCCTGGACAGTCACTCACATACTTATTCTCCATCTACAATCCTCATTATTGGGGTGTGGCCGGACGCTGGCTGACAGGGACGTGTGGTCCCACATCCAGGAAGATGGCAGCCAGCTCACCCATGCAGCAGTTGAGTGGAAACCCCACAGCATTGAAGAAATCCCCTTCCATGCGCTCTGCTAGGGCACCACCTCGCGCCTGAAGCCCATAGGCGCCAGCCTTGTCCCTGGGTGCAAGGCAGGGACGAAGTCACACCAGGTGCCATGCTCAGCCACACCCACACCCGCCGGGGACAGCTCTTCCTTTTCAGGCCTCACTTCCAGGTTTCCTGGCCCCACCCACCCCACCCCGCACCCACTCACAGAGGATCCCCGCTCTCCACATATTCGCACAGCAGTGGCTCCGATAGCCACGAGAATGTCACACGGGTCTCTTTGTGGAACAGTGACAATTCCACTTCTGCTTCTGGGTCCACTTCCGCCTCTGGGGCCTCTGGGCATGTGGAACTTGGCTCCTGAAGCTGCCTCCGCCACAGTGGCCTCAAGATGGCCACACCAGTGATGACACTGTGCTGCTGGCCACACAGCCTGGGCGGGGCCAGGGTGGGCAGATGCTGGAGCTCCATGCAGAGGCCCTGCCCACTCTGCCCTGGGTGGGTCTGCCCCGCCCCTTCAGGCCCCGCCCACCTGCGCAGCATCCTGTAGGCATCATCCTTGTCCTTTGGCTTCTCCAGGATGACGCCATCCACGGCCTGCAGTGGGCGGATCAGATGTCAAGGGGCCGGGTCAGTGAGGGGCAGGGTGGGCAGGGCCTGAAGGAGCGGGGCCTCACTCACCATGATGGTGTCAGCTCCAATAATGACATCAGGAGGGTGCAGGTCCTGCAGAGCAGAGGGCGGGGCAGGCCTACCACCTGACCAGAAGGGATGGGGCCGTCCTCACCCTGCACAGCCGCGAAGCCACCTCCAGAGCCTTCAGCTTTGCTGTCTCCAGGGCATATTCGGGCGGAGCCGGAAATCTCACCTTCTCCAGGGACTCCTGGAAGTGGGAGGGTAGTCCTTCCCGAACTGCAGTCCCTGGGGGGGGGTGTGCTGTCAGAAACAGCAGGCCCCACCCCTGGAAGTCACTGCTGACAATCCCAGAGCAGGCCCCCCCTGCCCTGGAAGTCACCATGGAGGACAGGATGTCCCGCCTCCTGGGGGAGCTGCTCGCCCAGCACCCACCCTCTTCCCCTGCAGCAGCCTGGTGAGTGGACCCAGCTCCATGTTGAAAGGATCGCACATTTCCGGTCTGGGGGGTTCACTTCCGTTCTGGGAGGGACCAGAAATTGTCCACTTCCGGCTTGAGACAACCAATTCTGGTTCCTCTGAGATGATGGGACTTATTTCCTGCCCCTGGATGCGCAAAAAAGACGGCGGGGTTCAAGATGGCCATGGGTTACAGTGTAGGTAAAAGGAAACAGGAAATCCTGCCTACACCTGTCTATGTCAGAGCCTAAGCCTCAGGGACCGCAAGTCCCGCCTCCAGCACACACAGAAAGTGATTGAATGAATGAATGATTGTACAATGAATTAATGACTGAAATGACTGAATTACTTCATGAATGACTGACCTTTGACTGAATGAGTGAATGAATGACTGAATGAACTAATTAATGACTGAATCAATGAATGAATGACTACATGAATGAATGATTGAATGAATGACTGAATGAGTAAATGAATTAATGACTCAATAAATGAATGAAAGACTAAATGAATGAGTGATTGAATGAGTGGCTGAGTGAATGACTGAATGAATGAGTGAATGAATGACTGAATGACAGGTGTTTGATTGACAGCTGTGTGCCCTACAGGCCACGCCTGTAACTCCTCTGACATCAGGGCTCCCGTGACACCGCCCATCACCTAGGAACCTCTCTAAGTCATTAATTCCTGGTCAATGCTCCCTCGCAGAAGTCCTGCCCCGATTTACCATGTTGCCGGAAGTCCCAACCCGGTTTCCCCGGCAACAGGAACCCTGCTGCCAACCGTGGCATAAACAGGGAAACAGCGAAAACCAGAGGGGTGCACGGACCTAGGGTTGCAATCTCTGTTTCTTCCCTGTTCGCCGCACCCGGAAGTCCCACCTACCGCCTCGATGAGTGACAGGGAATATGCTCTGTGCTGCCTCTTTTGCGGTCAGAATCAGCCGTTTCTGACCTGTTCACTTGGACCTGTTAGTCCCGTCCCTTAAGGTGTTTCCTATCCGGCCCCCAATGTCCGATACGATCAATTCCCGTCCTGGGCCAAAAGCGGATCCAATTTAATCGCCGCCCGGTGGGCAGGAAATCGCATGTTGCACCATCCGTAAGCGGAAGTAATGTGCCGGAAGCGGAACTCAGGCTGCAGCGCACTCCGTCCTGTTTACTTCACGGGTGGAACTCAAGTTGTGCATCTCTTCGTTGCAACCTTTCCTGGGGACCATTTTGTGTGAAGCTCAAGTCAGTGACTGGAAGCCTGACGTCCTTGGTTCACAAGCGGAAATCATGTGTCAGTTTGGCCGGGTGGAACTAGAAGCATGTTTTCCATGTGTGTCTTCCGGGGACACTGACAGCCACGAACCGGAAGCTTTAGTTCGGGACCGGAAGGCGGAAGTCCTGAGATCGCAGCCGCTTGTGAGCGGTGCAGGGGACAGTCCAGGAACCGTGTGTTTGAGAAGGAGTTCTTGGGGACAGAGTTGTGAGAGGTGCTCAATGTCTGTAACTCTGTCTGTTCCAGTCACTCTAGGAGGTCTCTCCCCCGGCAGAGCCTCAGTAATGACGGATAAACATCAGGCAGGCGGGCACACTGGTTGCTCCAGCGGGATAGAGGGGTCCAGTATTTTCAAAGCAGGTCCAAGAAATTTTCCGGAGGTGGAGGTGTTTTGTTTATTTGACCCGCTCTCGGTCCCAGTGCTCAACCAGACCAGTGGAGCAATGGGTGCAGTAGGACACAGGGTGGGGAAAGTGCGGCTTCTGGGTGGGGTGCTTTGTACATCAGAGTACTAGAACTTTACTCTCTAGAGATAAGATATAGGGCGTGAAAGACAAAAAAGTAAAGTTAGAGAAACGCCCCACTTTAAATGAAAGACAGACTAAACTGGAAAGTTAACCCCTAGCGATATCTGTTCCTTGGAATCTGCTAACTTCCCCTCACACGGCCCTGAGAAAACAAGATTCCAAGAATTTACACTGCCCCTCCTTTCTTGTGAGTCAGCAGGTGGTGAATGGGGTCTTTAAGAAACAAATAGATAACTGCACCTCCGGTTTGCCCAGACAAGATTAATTAGCACACCCTGAGGCCCTAAGGTCTGTTGACCATAATAGGGAGACCAGCCTCAAAGGGTCATGTACTCAATGGACAGAGGGTCCCACCCCTTCCCTAAGCTTGGGGTATTTGCCTTTAAAAACACCTGTGCTGTGTGTCGGGGTGGAGGGAGGAGATGGCTTCTTCTCACTAGTCTGCCTGCTGGAGGGGCCCCTTTGCACAAATGTTTCCTGTTCATTAAAGCCTCTTGCATGTTGAAGCAACTGGACTGGACATTGAGTTTTTGGGGATACCGATGGAAACTGGGAGACTCCTCATTCTGAGGGTCTTAAAAAGCTTGAATTCTTGAATAATGCAGATTGTTTAAAACTGCTCACTGAGTAAGATGTGCTGGCTAACAGTAGTGGTCATACATGAAAATCTTCCTAGCTCCATTCCTCTCTAAATTTTCAACTTTCCACGAAGAATACTCTTTTTATAATTTTGTGTTTGTTAAGTGGTTTTTCTAAGGTTCAGGAATAAAACTCCTACAGTTATAGAGCAATGATCAAGCTTTCTGATGAGAGAAAGAAAATTATCATATTTGATCTGGTACCTGCTTTTATTTCCTGACAGTTGGATGTTCCTGTACAACCCGGCCAATAACACCTCATGCTGCAGACTGCTCAGTGGGTGATGGGCCCCATGGGTACCAAAACTCGATGACCATGTCAGGAGTGGCTTCGTCTTGACAGAAACAAACACACTGGAGGCGGTTTGCAACTGCTACCATTTTTACTTTAGAGTATTGGGTTTTTATACAGAAATTACAAGGAACAGATCTTTGGTCACAATTTACAGACATATTATAAAATGCCAGTAATTCCTTTGAAGCATGAGATTAAAAAAACACTTATTTTCACCTGCCTGTGGTCAGTGTACTAGAGATTTGGTTTACTGAGTTTAGAGAAAAGTCATTATCTCTGATCGGTATACTGTTAACAGCATTGATAAGAACTCTTGCATTGCTTTACTAATTTTAGAGGATAATCATAAACTTTTAACAGTATTTTTCCATCTTTTTTATTATTTATTTTTTATAACCAAGTCCATTTAAATGAAAACAAACATTTATAGACAATATTTGGGAATTTGGGCATCGTTCTTTCCAAACTACTTCCTGCTTGTAAGGGGTGCTCTCATGGGGGATTCTAAGAAGATGCTGAAATCCTGGCTGTGATCTGTAAGGCTGCTTTGTCCAGCTGTTTTGAGTGTAGGCTCACTTGGTATTCTGTTTCAGGCAGTCTGGCTTGATCAAACCACATTAGTATGGAAGAAATCCACAGCTTTTCGTTTTCTGTGGGAAAAAAAAATAGAAATCCTTTTCCCCAGTAACTTGTCCTTGAACATAAATATTTGAGTCAGAGCATAGTTTTTTTTGTAATTTATTGTTATACATGTCGATCCCAGTTCCCTCTCCCTTATTTCCACCCTCCAAGTCTCAAGGTTTCTGTGCAGTGACATCTAATGAAATCTCAATCTCCAACTTGGAAGTGATGTGAAACTTCCAAGTCTCCCACCACGTAGGTCTCTCAGAGCTGCTTCCTTGTTCACTGTCTCACGCACTCGAGCACCTTAAGCCTAGCAAACAGAGGCTTAAGAAAACAGCCCATCAGCACTATGTACAGAGGTAATTTCCACCAGTAGAGAGAGCCCCCCAATGAGCCATTTACAGGGGCTCAGCCCAAATTGTCCAGGGGTGTTTTTAAACCTGAAAAGCACAAAGGGTAGGAGAGCTATCTGATCATTAACACCAGTCTAAACGGTCAATTTAGTGAAGGTCTCCTCAATGGTTTTATTTATACTTTCTACGTGAATTTTTGGGTTTGTATGCACAATGTAATTTTAATCAATCCCCAGTATCTTGGCCAGTGACTGACTTACCTGGGTCACAAAACCTGTACCATTGTCTGATTTTACTACCTTAGGTATTTTGAATCTTCGGAAAATTTTCTTCAGTAATTTTTTTTAGCCAAACAGTTGAGACAGTCCCATGCACATGAACAGTTGAAAAAGCATACCTGTTGCCTGTTAATGTTTATGGACTTCTCTTCGTCTAGCAGTACCACTCCCCCAGTCCTTTCTTTACCTTTTATGGCAGTGAATTGGTCATCATCTCCCCAGCCAGCAGGATGTCATTAAGATCTTTGCAAACTCCAGTCTCTTTAACCAACAGTTGATGGCAGTCATGAATCCCCGGTTCACCAGTCTCCACAGACAGAAGAGTGGTGGGATGAGGCTAGCTGGTGGAGCGAACACAATCCACTCAGTCTCTCAGTGAAAAGCAGGCTTTGGTGGTGGGTCACACGGGCATTGGTCATCATCAGTTGGCGGCTGCCAGACAATGCTCTCCAATGCATGGGGGCTATTAATGTTGCTTTATGCCCCAAAGTCAACTTGTCAGCAGTGATATCTTTTTGATAGACAGGCCCTCCCCTTGCTACAGGATCAAGCTTCTTTGACAGATAAGCAACTGGTCTGTTCCAAGGCCCTAGGGATTTGGTTAAAACTCCCCAGGAGACCCCCTTATGCTCATCCACATAAAGGGTAAAAGGTTAGTTACATCAAAAGGCTTAGAGCCGATGCTTTCAGCTGGGCCTTTTTAATGGCATCAAATGCCTCCTGGTGCTCTGGGGGTCCAGGAGAATTTTTTCCTTAGTCAGCCTGCAAAACCCAGATGTCCCCAGAAATTCTCCTACTTGCCTGGCCATCGTTGGGGAATTTTAAACCCTTGGGACATTCAGCTCTAGATGAGCTGCCTAGTTCTGCACGTGTCAGTGTCCTTCCATTCAAAGGCAAAAGGCAGTTGGCTGGTGGCTCGAACAAGTGGGGTACCCGGCCCATGCCAAGGTCCACTGTTCTTCGGGTAGTCCATGAATTACCTTGGGCATTGGGAGGGGTTCCAAACCCCGTCTCCCTTTAATTTTATCCTTTCTTAGGGTTAGGACCTTGGAGAC